GAAGAAATCCGTGTCTCTATTTCCCTATCTTCAGCCCTCTTTCCCTCTCTCCTTCTCAAAAATATTAAATTTAAAATGTAGCGAAACCTTAGAGCTGTGTGAAAATAACATTTAAAATGAGGTTGCTGCTCCACTGGGATCTTAATGAATCATTTAGAGTTCATTTCCTGTTAGCTGAACACTTAAACCTTCACAGACCCTTGCAGAGGAGTCAAAAGGCTTCCTCACGGTTGGAGCAGTGTTGTGGACCAACACGTTAATCTGCTGCTTGAGACAGGTGCATCCATGCTGGAAGTGCTTGGGATTACAGCCTCCCACCTCTTCTAATCCAGTTTTGGGTTCATGTTCTCAGGAGGCAGCAGGTGATGCCCAAGTGCTTCTGTTCTTGTCACCCATCTGGGAGACCCAGGAAGAAGTTCATGGCTCCTGGCCCCACCCTGGCCCCGGCTATTGTAAGCACTTGGGGAGTGAGCTGGGTTTGTAATCTCTGTCTGTCTTCTGCAATCAGACTGCCTTTCTTCTTCTTCTTCTTTTAAGATTTATTTTATTTTTATTACAAAGTCAGATATACAGAGAAGAGGAGAGACAGAGAGGAACATCTTCTGTCCAATGATTCACTCCCCAAGTGACTGCAACAGCTGGTGCTGCACTGACCCGAAGTCAGGAACCAGGAACCTCTTCCAGGTCTCCCACATGGGTGCAGGATCCCAAAGCTCTGGGCCATCCTCGACTACTTTCCCAGGCCACAAGCAGGGATGGGAAGTGGAACTGCCGGGATTAGAACCGGCCCCCATATGGGATCCCAGCGTGTTCAAGGCAAGGACTTTAGCCGCTAGGCCACGCCGCCGGACCCTGAATTCACTCTTTTTAAAAGGTGTATCTATCCTTAATGACTTATGCAAACTTCCAGGTTTGTATAAATGCAGAGTGAGAGGTGATATAATGAAATGCAGTGGTGCAGATGGAGTTGGTGTTGTAGCATGGCAGGTAAAGCTGCTTACACCATCGGCATCCCACGTAAGGCACTGATCCGTGTCCTGGCTGCTCCACTTCTGTTCCCATTCCCTGGTTACGGCCTGGAAAAAGTAACAGAAAAGAACCTAGGAATCTGGGACCCGACCATCCACATGGGATACACAGATGAAGTTCCTGGCCCTGTACCAACCATTGCGACCGTGCGAGGAGTGAACTAGGGGATGGAAGATCTGTGTCTCTCCCTCTCTCTGTAACTGACTTTCAAAATAAATTAGTTATCATTTTTTAAAAAGGAAAGATCTACATAGATCTTTTGTGATCTCTGATGTTTTGTAAGCTACCATAGTTATTTCCTGGAGATGCACCCCTTTTTTGAAACTGTAGAAATGCAAATTAAATGTGACTAATGTACATTGAATGCCTAATGTGTGCCAGTGAAAGCCTTAATAATTTAAATGCTAATTGTTCTACCTGAAAACATTTGTCTATTTAAATATTATTTGTGGCTTTATCTTGTTTAAAAGTATAGAAGTCAGACCTGAACAGTTTTTCTTGTAGATTCAAGAATGCCAATGCGTATAAAGAAAAAATAATAAAGGCCAACCTTGCACCCTTTTCTTTTTCTCTCTGGAGTTAGACAGTATTTGCAATATGTCTTTTGTTTTGTTTTCTTTATATTTACATTCTTATGTACATATATATGTACTTTTAAAAAAAAGTAATTGTACTATGATTTAAATTTTCACTTTTCAGTATGTCTGGAATAGCTTTCCATATCAGTCACATGCTAGTCTCATGAAAATTATTTGGATAAATGCATAGTTTTCTAGAATATACCACATAATTTGAACTTGTTAGACCCATAAGGTCAAGAACCTTGTCTTTATTTACTGCTTTGTCTGTAGTTCCTAGAACAGCACTTGCTGTAAGTATCCAGTGAGATGAGTAAATGAATTTTTTTTCTTTTTAAAGATTCCTTTATTCCTTTTTCAAAGATTTATTTATTTATTTTGATTGAAAAATCAGATATACAGAGAGAAGGAAGGACAGAGAGGAAGATCTTCCATCCACTGATTCATTCCCCAAATGACCACAGCAGCTGGAACTTAACCAATCAAAGCCAGGAACCAGTAATTTCTTCTGGGTCTCCCACACAGATTCAGGTTCCTAAGGCTTTGGGCTATCCTTGGTTGCTTTCCCAGGCCACAAATAGGGAGCTGGATGGGAAGCAAGCTGCTGGGACACAAACCAGCACCCATATGGGATCTCAGGCACATGCAAGGCGAGGACTTACCTGGTAGGCTACAGTGCTGGGCCCAAAATGTATTTATTCTTATTGGAAATACAGATTTACAGATAGAAGGAAAGACAAAAAGATCTTCTATCTGCTGGTTAACTCCCCAAATGGCCAAAGTGGCCAAATCTGAACTTGTCTGAAGCTAGGAGCCAGGGACCTCTTCTAGGTCTCCCACATGGGTGCAGGAACCCAAGGACCTGGACCATTCTCCACTGCTTTTCCAATCTGTAAGCAGGTAGCTGGTTTGAAGACCAGCCAGGACACAAGCTGGCACCCATATGAGATGCCAGCATTGGCAGGTGGAGGATTAGCCTGTTGAACCACCTCACTGGCCTCTGAATGAATGATTCTCGATACATGCATTGTTTCTGATTGTAGCTACTAATAATCGTGCTGTGTGTTAGGCTTGCCTGCACCTCCCTGTGGATAGCAGGGCGAGGTCTGTAGGGCAGCTACTCAGACATACTTTTGAGGACATGATTTCATTGTCTTCTAGTTTCCAGTGCCGCCAGTGAGAGGCAACCTGCTTTTCTCAGAGAAATGAACTAGGGCATTCTCTAAGATTTACAGCAGTGTGTCTAAACACTCGTGTGTTTGTTTTCATTTATCACAGTTGGTACTGACTGTGCTCTTTACACTCAGACTGACTGTAAGGAATTATTTTATTGTTTCTCCCATATTATCCTTTCTCTTATCTTCAATGATTCATATTAGAAAAAAATGCTAAAATGCCTAAATATCGCTTCCATGCTTTTTTCTCTTTGATTTTCTGGCATTTCTTGAGATTTAGGGGAAGCAGGGAGATGAATAAATGGGTTCTGTTTGCCATCTTGATGCAGTTTCCCAACAGTTTTTTTTTTTTTTTATACAAGCCAACCTTTTTGTTAAATTTCTGTTTTTTTGTCTGAACAGTCTGTTTCTAAAGGAACGTGAGGTAGGCTTTATAATTGATAGACGGTTGGTAATTGCTTAATATGTTTGCTCTACAGTCAGCTTTTTTTGAAGATAGCTTCTTTTTTTTTTAAGGCCCTGATACCAATTTACAGATTAGACTCCCTTGCTTTGTGCTATTGGTAATGAGCCCAATCGTATTTAAGAATGTGTTGGTATCTTAATGGCTCATCAGGCCCAGGCAGCTCCAAACGCTGATAAAGGCTCCGGTGCTTTTCCAGATGGCTGCGGGCTCGCTCCAGGTGCAGGAAGAGTGTCTGGAGCTGGCACCGAGACGCTCACACACTAGCCTGGGTGAAGATCAGACTGTCCAGTCCTTGGTCTCTTAGATATAGGAATTTCCTCTGGTGCTTTATAACGCCTGCACCCTTTACTGCACCTGTTAAATCCATCGTGTAAGGGTGTGGAGCCTGAAAACTAGTCATGTTTAAAGGCTTAGGGCTTATTCTGAAAATACATACTCGTCATCCGTAGAGCTTCTCTTCCACCTCGGTTTTTAACAGAATGGCTCTACAGTGTTCCTTGGTATATATTTGTTGTAGTTAACTTAACTGGGCCCCTCTTAGTGAATTTTCGCTAGGCTTCTAATCTTTAGTTATTGCAAAATACTGCAATAGATACCCTTGCACATCTAACTCCCTGCACATGTGTACTCTTAATTCATTGGGTAAGTTTCCCAAGTAGAATTGTTCAGATCAAACATATATACTCTTACTTGTGAACTTGAGAAAGATGTTTTTGCTTTGGTTTGCTTTCCTTTCCTTAATTTTTTTATTGTGTTAAAATACACCTAACATACATTGTTAAGGGTATGAGTACAGTTGAGTGGTATTAAATGCTTTTATCGTATTATGTAACCATAACCACCATCCCTCTAGAGAACTCTTCATCGTTTAAAACTGAAACTGGCCCATTCAAAAACAGCTCCTCATTATCTTTTTCCCCTAAGCCCTGCAGCCATCATTCTACTTTGTCTCTGTGAATCTGACCCCTTCGCATATGTCACAGAAGAGGCTCTGACTGCAGTCACGGGCTGCTTCCCTCAGCATACTCACTGCAAGGTTAATGCATCCTGCTCTGTGGGTCATAACTCCCTTCCTTTTTAAGACTAACTAATACTCCATCATTCACACCCACGCACGCACGCACTTTGGACAAGGAGTGGCTTTCACGATTTAGGTATTGTCAGTAACATTGCTGTGGACAACATGACTGTGCAAATAGTTCTTCAGGATCTTGGCTTTAGTTCTTTTGTGTATGTTCTCAGAAGTGGAATTATTGAATCAGGTGGAAATTCTCTGTTAATTGTTGGAGAAACTGCCTTATTTTCCAGAGCATCTGCACTTTTTTAACTTTGCTACCATTAAGCCCAGTGGGGTTCCAGTTTCTCCGCATCTTCACAAACACGGTCTCTGTTTCTGTGGTAGCGTTTTAATGGCCGTGAACTGGAATCTCAAGGGAGTTTTGATTGGCACTTTGCCAGTAATTAATGATGTTTGACATATTTATATGTGCATATTGACCATTTGTGTATCTTCTTTGGAGAACTGTCCAAGTTTTTGCTTAATTTATAGTTGTATTGCTTCTTTTTGTTACTGAGTTTGGGTCACTTTCTATATTCCTTAGATACTAATAAATCTAATATTTCATGTGTGTAATTCATAAACATTAGATGTTTTTATCTGTAACAATGCTCTTTTTAATCTTCAGATGTTCTGCGGCTCAAAATGTTCTTAAATCTTGGAAGTCCTAACATCGTGTCTTCATTTCTGCTTAGGCCAGTACTAAAGTAGAAGTGGACATGGAGAAAGCGGAGAGCCTGCAGGTGACACGAGGAGACTTCCTGGCTTCTTTGGAGAATGATATCAAACCAGTGAGTATATGTAAACAGTGATGTGTAAGCCAAAAAGAGTCAAGTACCATTTTACCCTGTGTCATCGATGTTCACATCATATGGAATTTTATAAAGTGGAAAATCATAGAGTTGGAAGTGTTTGTAGCAGCAACATCTGCACAGTAGACTAGTGGCTGGGTGATTATCCCATACTGACCCTACTTCATGATAGAAAGTTTACCTTTTTAATAAAGCAACCCATTCAATTTTGAGATACTGAAATATGAGATCTTATTTTATATTGATCTGGAGTAGTTTTCGTGTTGACTCTTATATGTACAATCTCAAGCTATGGAAACCCGAATTCAGTCCATGCTTCCTGTGTCAATTGTTAAGATATTTAGAATAAACTCCCATAACTACTACCTTTGTTACTCTCTCTGCCTCTTCCCCAACTTTCTCCAAAGTGTTCCTTGTTCTTATTCAGTCCCCCCAATTCTCTCTCTCTCCTCCAGCTACTGTAGTTTCTAAGACTCTCAACCTTTGCAGTCACCAGTAAGAAGTGTTTCAATTCTTAAGAAGCTTTTTTTTTAAAAGAAGTCTGAGTTGAAGTCGAAAGTTATTAACCAATTTTTGTATAGGCAACCACTAGCATTTCAATTACCATTGTCAGAGTCATCTGTTAGAACAGAAATAGAAAATAAAGAAAGAAGAGAGAGGGAGGGAGGGAGGGAGGAAGGAAGGAAGGAAGGCAGGAAGGAAGGAAAGAAGGAAGGAAGGGCGGGCCAGTTCTTAAAGAGCTGTGAGCATTTATTTGATTGGATCTCAGTGTGCAGAATTATGTTATTAACCTTATTCTAATTCATGATCTCCGTTTTCATTAGTCTCTGCACCTGGTATATAACATAAAATGTGGTGTACATAGCCTCTGGAACTTACTGTCGCTTTACTGTATTCTTCTTTGCTAGATGTCATCAATGTGCTCTACTGAAGCCATACATCATTCACTTTTATTGTGGAATATCATTCCATTGGGGACACCAACATTTATCTGTTTTCCTTGTCAGCAGGCATTGATTGGCACATTACCAGTTTTATGCTGTTGCCAACAAATGCTGCTGTTAACCTTTTTTTTTTTTTTTTAAGATTTACTTATTTTTATGGGAAAGGCAGATTTACAGGGAGAAGAAGAGACAAAGATCTTTGCCCGCTGATTAACTCCCCAAGTGGCCACAATGACTAGAGCCAAGGAGCCAGGAGCCTCTTCCAGGTCTCCTCCATGGGTATTGGGTCCCAAGGCTTTGGGCTGTCCTCTACTGCTTTCCCAGGCCACAAGCAGGGAGCTGGGTGGGAAGTGAAGCCGGGACACGAGCCAGCATATATGGGATGGTGGCACATGCAAGGCAATGATTTAGCCACTGAGCCATCACACCAGGCTCTGTTGTAAGCATTCTTAAATGAATTTCTGATACGCATAAATTTAGGAGTAAAGCTGTTTGGTTGCTGAATGTATGCATGTACAACTATAAAAGATCATTTCAAACTGCTGTGCCAGTGGTTGAGACACTTACCATTGCCCCAGTAATGTGAGAGAGACACCATTGTACATGCTGTCCAACATTTGATGTTGTCAGGCTGTTTGTTATTCAGAGGGGAATCAAATGAGCTCTCACTTTGGTTTGGATTTCGTTCTACTAGTTACTTGAGAGGTTTAACATTTATTCTATGCTTGTTAGCCGCATGAATATCTTCAATGAAATACTATTTATTAATGTCCTTTGCTTGTTTTTCTGTTACAGTTTATTCTTTATTCTTATTTGATTTATATAAAATTTTTGTTTTTTTCTTGGTTTTTATGGTTTTAGATTACATCTATAAAATTTATGAATTTAACCATTTTTAAGTGTCTGAGTTCAGTTCCATGGTACCAAATACTTCGATCATATTGTACAACTATGTCCGTTCTCCATCTGTGACACCGAAACTTCCTGCTCATCTTAGAAACCCCTGTCTATCTCTCCTTCTCTTAGTCCCCTATGACCATCCCCTGCTGTCTGCGACTCTGACTTTGATCCTATAGGTTTTGTCTTTTGGTGACTGGCCCCTTTTACTTAGGCTCGCGTCCTTGAGGTGCATCTGTTGCATAGTGCATATCAAAAGCTCTTCCATTTTTATGCTGTGAAACCCCCTGTTTTGTTCATGCACTCGTCTTTCAGTGGACAATGGAATGACTTCCATGTGTTAATTTTTTTTAAGATTTATTTATTTTATTGGAAAGGCAGATGTACAGAGAGGAGAAGAGACAGAGAGGAAGATCTTCCATCCGATGATTCACTCCCCAAGTGGCCGCAATGGCTAGAGCTGAGCCAATCCGAAGCCAGGAGTCAGGAATTTCTTTCCGGGTCTCCCATGTGGGTGCAGGATCCCAAGGATCTGGGCCGTCCTCAACTGCTTTCTCAGGTCACAAGCAGGAAGCTGGATGGGAAGCTCCCAAAGTAGCCACAAAGCCTGGAACTGAACTGATATGAAGCCAGGAGCCAGGAACCTTTTCCAGACCTCCCATGCAGGTGCACGGTCCCAAAGCTTTGGGTCATCCTAAACTGCTTTCCCAGGCCACAAGCAGGGAGGTGGATGGGAAGTGGGACAGCTGGGATATGAACCGGCATCCATATGAGATCTCTGGCATGCAAGGCAAGGACTTTAAACACTAGGCCACCGTGCTGGATGCTAGTTTTTAATATTAATATTCAAATACTCTAAACTGTCCTTTTCTTCAATAGGCATTTGGCACAAATCAGGAAGATTATGCCAGTTACATTATGAATGGAATCATCAAGTGGGGTGACCCCGTTACTCGTGTCCTGGATGATGGGGAGCTGCTGGTTCAACAGACTAAGAACAGTGACCGCACACCGTTGGTTAGCGTCCTTCTGGAAGGTGAGCAAGACTGAGGAGCCATTCAGAAGTGCAGAAATGCTTTTCCCAAGCCATTTGGTATATTTCAGAAAAATGAATTATTTCTCATTCTGAAGCTTGTTATGATATAAAATAGTAATCTATATTATACGTCCATATTGTATACAAATTAAAATTTGGGGGAGATGGAATATTACTAATGAACAATAGCATCAAAAAGTTTTCTTGTGGGATTACATCTGAATTTCTATAGTACTTAAGAGACTGAATGATACCACATAGTGCTTGATTGTAAAATTGAATTTGTACTAAGAGCCTGCTGTGCTTTAGGCGTTAGTGGAAGTATAACTACATTCAGATATTCAGTGTGGTCATAAAAAGGACATGTATAATGGCCCAGAGCTATAGCTTAGTGGTGAAATCTTTGCCTTGCACACACCAGGATCCCATACAGGCATTGGTTCGTATCCCAGTGGCCCCACTTCTCATCCAGTTCCCTACTTGTGGCCTGGGAAGGCAGTAGAGGACAGCCCAAAACCTTGGGACCCTTTACCTAAGTGGGAGACCCAGGAGGAGCTCCTGGCTCCTGGCTTTGGATCAATACAGCTTTGGCCAATGCAGTCTTTTGGGAAGTGAACCTCTCTTCCTCTATAAATCTGCCTTCCAAATAAAAATAAATAAATCTTAAAATACACACATACACACAAAAAGGACATGTACAGAAATTCCTTACTATAGCATACAGGTCTAAAGGAATATGTGATTGCAAGCCATTTTGCAAAAGCACAGTTAAGGAAAGTGAGGAGTGATATTTAATTTAGGCCTTACTAAATCAGTTGGTATTTTACTGAATAGACAAAGAACAAGAACATTCTACTCACGCATGATCAATTTATATTTGTAATAAGTACGATAACAGTGAAGTATCATGAGGCCACAGGGCGGGGGAACCTGCTCCTTCCGTGGGTCTAGCACTTAGGGCTCCCAAGGAATGCACGTTCAGCCAAGACCCGGGAGCGATGAAAAGCTGTCAGGGCGACTGGGAACTGTGTTCTCAGCAGAGGGACTTGCCACGTGTAAACACTGGTAGAAGGACTTTAGGGAGGGAAGAGGAAGAGGGAAAGAATCATGCCAGGAAGAAAGAGTCAGTTGGTACACAGGGGGAGAGGACACCTCTTGTCTGAGGGCAGACATTTTGTAGGTTTGCTTGCCTTTCTGTCCTTACAGTTTGTAGCTGTAAAGTCACATTAGCTTCTGATGAGGCCATTCTCCCTGTCCCTAGTATCATCTCTTCCAAAGATGATCTGTTTTTTATAAGACAAATGATTTGACAGAGTGACCCAAGTTCTGATATGCATTTGAATGCATTCTCTTTGGTGGGTTTTTTTTTTTTTTTTTTTTTAAGAACAAAACCTTTGTATATCCACCCAGAAATTTGGAAGATGAAAGCTGTGTGAGAAAGTAAGAAGGCATGTATTTCACCACACTTTTGAGAAATGCTAATCAGTTCATTAAGTTGAGTTGCTAATAAATAAAAGGAAACATGTCTGCCCTGAAATTGTGTCAGGAAATGTTAATGAACAACTAGTTGAGACCTTAATACACCAGGGATAAACGTTAAAACTTGTTCTCTGCTCTTTGCTTGCGTTGGCTTTTTTCCCTTGACTTGCTCATATCTTTCTGCAGGCCCTCCTCATAGTGGGAAGACTGCTCTAGCTGCAAAGATTGCCGAAGAATCCAACTTCCCCTTCATCAAGATCTGCTCTCCTGATAAGATGATTGGCTTCTCTGAGACTGCCAAGTGTCAGGCCATGAAGAAGGTATCGGGATTTTTACTTTCATTTAAGTTTCCTATCTCTCAGATGTGTGTCTGTGTGTGTGCGCGCGTGCGCACATGCGCGGACACATGAAGTTACTTTGTACACTGAGATACACATAAAACCCATCACAACCCGTTCTTAGGTGCTTCTCAAGTGGAAGGAAATTATTAGCAGATTTTGGTGTGGGTACAAAGACAGAGACTATTTACTTAACATTTTTTAATGTGTTTTAATTTTTTAACAGTAGCTATTTTAGATTGATAACCTTGTAATGTATTTTTAGTAAGAATATCATTTTCTTCCAAAATATGCTTTGCTCAGTATATTTTAATACGAATTTTCTTAGGTTTGTATCTGCTTGATAAAAAGAAGGACCATAATTGGGAGTATTTGGACAGAGTGGAGTGTTTTCTTTCTTTCTTTCTTTCTTTCTTTCTTTCTTTCTTTCTTTCTTTCTTTCTTTCTTTCTTTCTTTCTTTCTTCCTTTCTTTCTTCCTTTCTTTCTTTTTTTTAAGATTTATTTTTATTTGAAAGGCAGAGTTAAAACAGAGGAGAGACAGAATGAGATCTTCCATCTGCTGATTTACTCCCCAGAAGGCCAGAGCCAGGCTGGCCCAAAGCCAGGAGTTGCGAACCAGAAGTTAGGAATCAGGAGCTTCTTCTAGGCTTCCCTCATAGGTGGAAGGGCCCAAGCATTTGGCCCATCCTCCATTGCTTTCCCAAGCCATTAGCAGGGAGCTGGAGCAGAAGCTGAGCATCTGAGACAAGAACCAGTGCCCACATGGATGCCGGTGCTGCAAGCAGAGTTTTAACGTACATCACCATGGCACGGGCCCTTAGGGTCTTTCTTAAAGCTCAGCTCTTGCATTAATGTACAAGTCAAATTGTCCAGAGACAGTTAGGGGAAGGGACAGCGAGGTATCGTTGGAAGTTATTCCCAGGAACCCCTACAAAAGGATAGTTGTGTACAGGATAATAGCCTGAGTTGGCTTGACAACCTAATCCATTCTGCCTCTGCCTTTTGCCTAAGTGCTATTTGTCACCTTCTCGAGTTGACCACTCTGAATCATGGAAATTGCAGCAAGGTGGCGTAGAACAGTAGAGCTGAAAGGACTGCAGAGTCATCTTGTCCGCTCTTAAACATTCAACCAACTGCTGTGTGAGGCAGCTGCAACAGCAATGCCTACATGGGGGAGAAAAAATAAGGCACGAATAGCAATGAAACATGTGGTAGAGTCCTACTGGTGGTCAGCTGGAGCCACCCGCTGCTCTGAAGATGACGGGTGACTGAGGAGGGCCGAGGGGCGCCCGGCCGGTCCTCCTGGTCCACCCGACCCGGATTTGGACCCGCTGCAGCCTTCCCAACAAGTTCTCCTCACTCTATATTTCCTTCCGGGAGCGAGTTGTGGGGAAAAAGCTGCCATGTTCCCGAAGGAACGCACCTCATGTTGAAGGAGTGATAAACTGCCGGATCCCGGCACCACCTCACCAAGCTGCGTGGACAGTTTGGACCCCGGGGGGAATCCACTCACGTCCAGCAGGATCACTTCAAGCACCAGAGCAGACATCTCTCAGGGTTGTGCCTGCAGAGTTGCCTTTGAGTCTGCCTCAGTGTTTGCCCTCAGACTGGAGTGAGCTGATGTCCCTGCGTGAAAGTGTATTTCCAGGAAAATGTTCTCTCTCTGCCTTTTACAACTGCAGCTACCTCTTCTGACTGGTTTTCCTGGGAGAGTTGGGGGCTTTCTGGCAAGGTGTATGTGAAACTCTTCTCCTAGGTCGGGGGAAATGCCTAGGCTATGAGGCTACATGGGGGCTTTTCTAGCAGCTTCACTCCCCAAATGAGATGTGTCTTCAGGCAATGTGTCTTCAAGCATGTTCTTTCAACTCTAGTATAGCCAGGCTCACTAAATATCAAAATCCTGGAAACTTTTCTTTTAATTAATTTATTTATTTTATTGGAACATCAGATGTACAGAAAGGTGGAGAGACAGAGAGAAAGATCTTCCATCTGCTGGTTCACTCCCCAAGTGGCCACAATGGCCAGATCTGGGCCCATCCGAGGCCAGGAACTGGGAGCCAGGAGCTTCTTCCTATTCTCCCACGAGGGTGCAGGGTCCCAAGGCTTTGGGCCATCCTTGACTGCTTTCCCAGACCACAAGCAGGGAGCTGGATGAGAAGCAGGGTTGCCACGACATGAACCGGCACCCATGTGGGATCCCAGTGCGTATAAGGTAAGGACTTCAGCTACTAGGCAACCACGCCGGGCCCAGGAACTTTTAAAAAATGTTATAATATTTATTTTTTAAATATTTATTTATTTTTATTGGAAAGTCAGATATACAGAGAAGAGGAGAGACAGAGAGGAAGATCTTTCATCTGCTGATTAACTCCCCAAGCGGCCTCAATGGCCAGAGCTGAACCTATCCGAAGCCAGGAGCTAGGAACTTCCCGGTCTCCCAAATGGGTGCAAGGTCCCAGGGTTTTGGACCATCCTCTTCTGCTTTCTCAAGCCACAAGCAGGGAGCTGGACGGGATACAGGGCCACTGGGACACGAACCAGCACCCATATGAGAATCCCAGTGTGTGCAAGGAAAGAACTTTAGTCATTAAGCTACCACGCTGGGTTCAGTATTTTAAATTTTTAAACCATACTTCTCCAAATTTGCTAGAAAGTATGTTTACAAAAAAGTTTTCTTCAGAATTATCTTAGTGAATTTTTTTTTTCAAATAGCAAATCTAAAATTAGACCACCTAATATAGAGTGACAAAATGTCCTGTAGTTTTAGTCATCTCCAAGAACCTTAATTTTTTTATGGATAGCACAACAATGATTTATTTCTATTATTTATTTTTTTTCCTGAAAAATATTTCAGGAATTTGGATACTAGCATTGATTATATGAATTGGGGCAGCTCTGTTACATGTAAAAGATGTTACTGTCTGTAGGTACTTGGCATACTTTTGCTCTCAAAATTCCCAAAGAAGTAAAATTTAGTCTGACGTGTTCCTGCACTTAGAAAGATAAAAGAGTTTGTTCAGGTGTTGAGGGTAGGACCAATCGAGGCGAAGTTGAAATTCTTCTTCTGCATGTTGGTGAGGTCTGGTGTCTTCTACTTTTTCCAGATTTACTAGTTAGTAGTTGGTATGTTAGTACTTAGTGTGCAGATGTTTTGAAAGGTACCTAAAAGCTAGTGCATCCACCTGCTACTGAAAAGAACCTTGGGGGCCTGGATGACTCTTTCTAGGGGTTCTCTTTGATGCCATCCTATGACACCAGCATCCCATGTGGGCATTTAATAGTATCCCAGCTCCTCCACTTCAGCTCTATGCGAACAGCATGGCGAAAGCACTAGAGGAGAGCCCAAAGGCTTGGGATTCTGCACCCATATGGAAGACCTGGAAGAAGCTATGCTCATGGCTGCTGGCTTCTGCCTGGCCTAGCCCTGGCCATTGGTGGCTGTCTGAGAAATGAACTAGCAGATGGAAGATTGTCTTGTTCTCTTAAACTCTGACTTTCAAAATAAATTGTAGAAGAAAAGAAGAAAACGTTAGGAGAACCTTACGTTGAGCCTAGTGAAGCAGGTCGCTCCTCTGCACGTCCCGACTTCGGGGTTTCTCTTCTTCTGGATCAGTGATGGGGTGGAGCTCTCTCAGTACTCTGTGAGTTTCATTGTTCAGCCCCTTAGCATCTGCTTCTGCTGTTGGTGTGTGCAATAGCCCAAAGCAGGTAGCAAGTGGAAATTCCATTGAAAAAGAAACTAAGCTTCTTGGATAGTTCATCCTAGATTTTAGTAAAGAGTTCATTTTTCTTAAATAATAAAAGTTAAAAAAAAGAAAAAGAATCCTCCCAGCTGCTCCTTCTACTTGGTCGTCAGCACTCCCAAGCAGTATCCAGCTGAAGTCATTTTTTTAGTACTTGATCTCTTATAGATATAAACTGACTGTAAGTTAAAGAGATGTGGGAAAATCGGAATCCTGGGAAAAAAACCTTGAAAGGTAAAGTGCTGCCTGGCTAAGGGCAGCCCTCGGGTGTCTCCCGCAATGTAGCTTGAGCAGTTGGCCTCTTCTTCAGGCACCGCCACACTGCGGTGAGTGCTGGACACGGGTCGGGGAGGCGGACACCAAGCGTAAGCTGAGCCATGCACACATACTGCAAGCTGTGGATTCTCTTTAAGAATCTTTGAACTGAATGTGAAAGGGAAATGTAGCCAAACACAGAAAAGGATTTAGAATATCATAATTTATTCTATTTCAGAAGTAAGTCAATAGCATCTCTCCTTCCCAGAAAAGCCTGGCTGGAATAACTCAGACCAACAACCTCCCTAGAGTAGGCAGCAATTTTTCCTTGATTTTTCTGCTTTCCCTCTAGTGGGAATATATGTAAGGCACTGGTGAACATTTCAATACAGCTTTTGGGATCAGTGGCCGTTGAACAGCTAATGTTGTTTGTGCTTCGCTCAGTTGTCTGCTGCCAGCCTTGTTCAGAGCCAGTTGTCTGCCCGAGCAGACTCTCCTCCAGCTGCCCGCTCTCTACCTCACATGTACTCTGGGCTGTGGGTGGATGGTCCTGGTTTTTCTATAAAGTTTTTAAAAAGTACTTTAGACTTCTGCAGATCAAAGCTGCTTTGTGAGTGTGAGATATTATCATTTTTATTATTTTAATCTCTTGCAAATTGACTTGGGGGGAAGGTAATATGTGCTGATTTTAGAGGCTTAAATGGTTAAATTAATGGCTTAATAACGTATGATTTAATCTTTAAATTGTTGAAGCCTTTCAAGGTAGAGTTTTAGAAGAGCAGAAGGCTAAAGAGTATAAAAATAAATGTCTATGCAAGCTTATGCAAAATTGTTTTGATTCATAATTCACTGTCTGGATCATTCAGCCTCTCTTAAAGTTTCAAAACCAATTCCTGTCGCAGCAGTATAATAAATTCACACTAGACTTTTTGATTTTCTTTGGGGGAGGAATATTTCCTGTAACTGAAGTTCAGAACAGAAAA